TCTAATGAAAAGGAACGGTTTACATTGTATATATCTCAATAGCTAATACGAAAGATTGATAATGACATTATTTAAAAAAATAAAAAACTTTCATTCAGATTACGTACATCGACTATTCGTAAATAAAACACGGTCAGAATGGCATTCAGAACAGCATATGTTTTTGGTAAGGTAGTGTATATCTGACAGATGTAGCTGTTGTAATAAAACGATGCATTGCGATTAAAATGATAACAACTTGTCGTCACAGTAACATCAACTAGTAACTCGGCATCGAAATAACTAAAACCACACGATGCAACGTTTCGTCACATCGTCAGTGTGCGGACACTTTTTATTAAACGAAGGTTTCACATACTACGAGTATATTATAAACGAATTATTGTTTTAATTTTTTTACAAAGATAGTATTTATTATTAATGATAGAAGAAAATAAATCACAAAAAGGCTAATTTGCTTTTATTCAATTGTTTTGAACTGAAACTTCTTTAGAATCGTTTGATTTGAAACTTAATGAAACGAAAATTCGTTACAATTATAGAAAAAAGACATGAATATATAGAATTAAGTTGGCGAGAGAATGAGATAGAATACATTACACATTATTTTTAACATAATATTTTGACAGTGTGAATATTTTTATTTAATACTAACTGGTACCCGCGACTTTGTACGCATGGAATTTGAAAAACGCTGCCTTAGTGAGTTTAATTCCCGGTCCGAGCGAAACTTTATAAGGTTTTTCTGAGATAAAAAAAAAACAAAAGATTTTTTCCGAAGTTTCACTTCTGCCGTGTGTGAATTGGACACACACAGTTTTTTTTGTATCTACTTTGTACTAATCTACTCACACTACGAGTAGATATTATTCACACTGTCTAAAAATTATAAATAATGCCATCCTTACCGGGCCATACTCATTTCGAAAGGTACATTCTTTAATTAATTCTGCAGTCTATTTTTCTTTGTTAATGCTAAGAAAATATAAAACATCATACGAAGTCGTCGTGACAATAGTAGGTTATCAGTCAGCGTTCATGTTAAAACTGCGCTTTGACATAAAAGTGTGGTATGCATGGCGCCATTAATTTATAACAAAATCCCCAAGAGTCTAAAAGTGTTGACTACGAATATATTTAAAAATAAACTTAAGAACATATTAAAGGAGAAGTGTTATTATAGTGTAGTAAATTTTCTTGAGGATTTGACATTGAGATTGCCAAAGACAATTGAGATTTTATTAGTTTGCTGTGTTGAATAAAACTTCATTTCAATTGAAATTTGATTGCAACCACATCTGCTGGCAGTTTGCAAAAGACTATTGTTTGTTTTATATCAAATAAAGGTAATTTTAGTAAAATAAGTCGTTTAAAATTCTATTAAATTTATTAATATGTTTATTTTAAATATGGAGCTATATTTAAGAATTAATATATCGTGATATAATTTTTTTATTGATAAAAGAGGCTATAGTTACTATAACCGTTGTAGAAATTATAAATAGAGAATTTCATAGTGAAACGGCACATTTGATTAGCGATTGTACAAGAATAATGTATTTTTAAGTGCGTGTTTTATTGATATGGCCTCCGAAGTGGTAATTCTGTATTAGCGACGACATATTGTATGTATGTATATAACTTATACCTATCTGACCCGACTTGCATGTTCTAAAGAACTTTAAGATAACAAATTTTCAAATAAAAATGTAGCACCAACTTACTAAACATTAACCATTTGAATATTATGTATGCTAAGTAGAGTAAGAGTTGAAATTCACACTCGTACACATCACTTCAATTGCAGTCTCAGATAAACAGCCACAAAATTTTATAGGATTACTTTAGATAGATGAGGGCATTAGAGAGTGTTGTCACCAAATGTACCCCACCCTTTCACCCTAGTCGTTACGGGAATGACAGTCTTTTATCAAATGACACAGTGATAATACTGTAGAACTTTTACATTTCCTCTAAATAATATGTGTGTGTGAATACGTATTCTAGTTTGTGTGTTTGCTTTCACTAAGTTGAGAGAGTAAAAATGGGTCATGTAATGGTTTTGGAACTAGAAGAGTGTTATTAATGTCTCCAAACGCAATTAAACAGAGCTCTTTTGCCAAAAGTGCACAAAAACCAAACACCAGAATTTGATTTGAGGTAAGGCAATAGCATAAAATTATAGACTGATTTTATTTACTGGTAAAAGAAAAATCATAAGTAAGCCTTTGTTTGAACAGTTCTTATAAAGTTCTCCTAGACATATATAAAGATTTAGTTTGGACTGTTACATAATCGGATAATTTCGGGCTGTTTCATACTATATTATTAATTTTCTCCCTCTCTTATCTCTACCGAGAGGGAGAGATATGAGAGATCATATGATCTGTTTTAGTCCATTATTTTTTTGGTCCAGAACAGGAATTCGAGTTACCTTACTTACGTAAACCAAAAAAAGAAACGGCAGGCACAAAAGCAGCAAACAGACAAACATTAATAATTCTTACGGTACCATCATACTTCTAACATAATCACGTGGCATACGCAGTGAAAGGCAAGTAATGGTCATAACAGAAAGTTTCATATTTACAACTGAGCGGGAATAACAGGATATGAAATAAAATATAATATGATAAGTCCGGACGACGCCACACGATATAGTCATTAGTTACAATAAAAGATTTATCTTATGATTTGAGTTGAGTTGCTACAATTGAACATACTTATATAAAAGCGAATGGTCATGTTTGTTGGACCTTCGGTATCTTTTATTTTCATGGGATATTTAAAAAAAGACACTTCTGTGTTCGTCTAATTGTGATCTAATAAATGTGTTCATTCAACGCGCGGCCAACAGTCGCCATCGGAATATAAACTACATTGCATAAACTCGAACTCAAAATATCTTTATTTGAAAAAAAATTGTTGAAGTCGTCTTTATAATAATAAAATACCTACTAAATATATAACACTATTGTTACTTAAAGAATTCCGATTTTATATGTATACATACACATACATACATACATTTGACCAGATTTAACATGCTTCCTTTGTTAATAAGTACTCAAAGCTTGGAAGTGATTTAATCTATACTTATCAGTTCATTCCAACCGACTAAGCTGAAATAAAGGTGAGATAATAAGTTCTACCTCGTCTATGATTGAATAGACGAGGAAGAACTCCTTCGTATTTGAATTGATTAAAATTGTCGTATTAAGTATTAGTGGGTTTCATGATAGAGCTGCAAGGACTAGGTCATACTAATAACGCTCGTACACAAGACAGTTGAATAAATATACTTTATTAGAAAAACGAGTTTAGGTTTTTACAAATAAAATACATACCCTATATGTAAACATATTTATTTTAAGGTAATCTCTGAAAAGAAAATGACATTACCCATATACTAAATAAGTTTAGAATTTATTACGAATAATATACGTATTTACGACGTATATCCTTCAAGAAAAGAGCGTATCCTTCCACAAAGGCCGGTAACGCGCTTCTGAATCCTGAGCTGCAAGCGTTCATGGACGGCGGTAGTCGCTTTTCGTCAGGTGACCCGTCGGCTAGTTTGCTCCCTATTCCATTATCTGACAGTTCGTCTGCATCTTTTAAAAGGAATGACTTTGCCCCATCATCGGAACATTTTTCATTGATGCTCCGCTCCCATTGGTAGCTTGCAATTTTTTTTTCAATTTCAAGCTTTCCTTGATAGAAGCTCTATAAGTAGTTCTTGAGATTGTAGCGTTTAACCAAACAAGCAAATTAACGTTTCAGTATCATTATTTCAATATTTGTGCTTAAAAAAAGACATGGATTTAGGCAATTCAAATCCGTAACATTTTGTGTCAAAAATAAAACTTTACAGCTTTTGACTCGTTATTACAGTCTAGTCAGTAGTATTCTGAATAACATAAACTTATGGGACGTGATTTTCCAGGAAATTTAGGTGAGGGTTATATCGTGCATATTGCCCTAGAAGAAAGAAAAATGTTATGAAGATTCCCGTAAATATGATGATGTACGCAATACGATTTTGCATACGTAATGGTATCAAGAATACTAAATTATGTTTTTAGATTTTTATAGTTATATACGACTAACATTGAAACGGTCAGACAGAATATTAAAAAAAAACAGTTCGATAATATCCATTCATTCACAGAACAATTGTTCAAAAATATCAGACAACGTGCCTTCATAAAACAGGAGGTGGATTGTTTCCAACATTTGCCGGAAGACAGGGAATGGATTCAGACTAATACATACCCTTCTACGAACCCTCGCATAAAATAGAAAATGCTTTCGGTCCACGATTTCCGTTGGACTCCTATTGTCTGCCTCGGTGCGTGCAACCCTTCCTTATTAAGCAAGCGAAAGTTTTATTCCGTAGGTGTGGGTTTGTTTGATTAAATTTTGTTCGTGAAACAATATTTTAACACGGAACCCTAACATTTACCTCCATTAGTATGTTTACTTTATCACAATTATATTTTACTGTATTAAAATTCATATCCCAGTCTTTACTCTCGATAAATTGATTCACGTGTGTGAGAGAACAAAGAAGTTTAAAATTAATCAGTGTCTGTCGATTTGAAGCAGAATTACAAGTTTAGCGAAACTCAATTATGTCCTTATCACGAAAAAGAAAACTGTACTATCTACCTGAAAGTTTCTAACTGTAACTATCTTATAGTTACTCAGCCTTTACAATTGTGGGAACATTTACAAACATAAATCAAGTCCCAATAACATATCAATCTGATTGTCATCTATTTCTCAGAACTACGATTATTATGTATTTATAGTTCGCCATAGCCATTATAAACTGTAGCATTGTTATTGACCTCTTGACTCCTGTCTTATTCAAGTGCCTTTTCTTTAATTGCTTCATAACCTTCATTCTTAGTTGGCTCATTATCGTGTAACCATCGTGTCTTTTTTTCAAACGTTTTTTTAAATTCTGAAATTATAGTTTATATCTTACCAGTATAATGAAGAAGAAACTTTTAATAGTTTTTGCTTGTTTACTTGCAATGGCGTCATGCGGACATTTGCTTATGGGCAACGTGAACACCAACAGTTTTGTGATACATCAGACCAAAGTGAAGTACGGCGCAATACCTCTCATAAGGCGGGTCAAAACTATGTATTATAACGGACATGATATAATAAATGTGAGTAATACTACAATGTTGTAAAAAAAAAACTAACTACATATCTATCTTAATTCACAGAATAAAGCTAAAAGGTTATTTTTTTATTGAACTCATCCAATTTGAAAAAAAAATCTCTTGTATTTAACACCCCAATCCTCAAAATGCCTATATATTGTCAAGCTTAGCCATAGAAGCCCAGCAATAATTATTTAGTATTTGTTTACTTCTTTGATTGACTAAACTTGTATTATTACAAGAAGCCCAATTAAAGGATTATATTTGCGTTACGAAGCTTGTTTTGCTCCAATTACAGACATTGTGACATTTAAATATGACTGCGAATAAAATTGATAACTGTAGATAAATACGATGTACACAATGTATGATCGAAACTTTACGTCATTGAAATAGCGGAATACGACTTCTTAATTAAGAAGAAGTAGTTAAATGAAGTGACCTATTGCTCTTGAGAATCTTGTGAAGTTTTTAGTTTAGTTTAAAAAGTGTACAATTATTAAAACTTAGAGCACGTCCATGTTACCCTAAAACTTTTATTTGTGCTATACTTTCTATCAGGCTTCTCAGTCTACTTATGTAGTAGTTAAAAGGAGGGAGCTTATAGGACTTGTTAGCTGAATGCGCGTTTTTACTATTCCTGCTTCAATTCATTTTTTTTCTACTGAGTTTTTGTTCCTACAATATTTTTACAGAATTTTTCCAATGCGATATTGTAGTTATATTAAGTAAATTAAAGCTAACTAAAAAACGAAATTACAAACTAAACTAACAAATTCTACTTAGTGCTATAATTGTGAATCATGCCTGCATCGTCAGCTATGAGGTTGAGGTAATTATGAAACTAAATTAACTGAATCGATACATAATACTAATAAAAGACAAAACATCAAATGAACAAATATAATATTATTTATTTTCCTTTCAAATTGTCAAACTTGATTTCGGGTTTCGTTGTAATTACTTATATTACTAAAGGTTTATATAACGTTTTATCAGCTTTCCTAAACCTAATATTAAGCATCTACAAAACTTTTCCTCTAACAAAACTCACAACAAAGCTCAACTCATGTATATTTACGATGGCTTTCCGAAGGTCCTTCATTCAATACTATTGGTAAATGAAATATTCAGCTTACCTCTTGGATAAAAGTTTAAACGTGCGTGCGTAGTTGTACAACTTATGGATGGCGAAGGAAATTGTTATTTAGTAAATAAATTATTTATTAAACCTTGTACGAAAAATATCCTACATAGCCAAGCATGAAGTCATCCAATTAGTAGTAGTTTACTCTTATTGACAGTTGCGTCTTTAATCGATGCCCAATACTGCACTGTATAATATACAGCCAAGCTTAGTTGAGTATATATAGTCATAGTCATATATACATAATATGTATATATGAGATTTTCGTATATTTGTATTTATTTCGTTGTTTTTTATTATGTTACAGAGCATCATGGCCTACGACAACGACCACACAAAAGCAACAGTATCAATTACTTCTGGCGGTTTCGGCTTTCCGTTTATCGGTCTAAAGTTTGAAAGTGAACGGGGTAAAAGACTAAACTTCGATGTGACGATTTATGGGTAGATAGATCATTTGAGTAAATATTAGGTAACGCTAATTTAGTATGTGAATTTAAGTTAAGACAATTCTAAAAATAAGTCTCTTATGTCTTGGCGATTATGCACGAGTTGGAATTGTTATTAATTTAGAATATTGCTGAGGTAACAAGATTACATTAAATTAAGCCACAACTACACAAGTCCGTGTAAAACGTTGCATCTCCGATCGATAAAATCTTAGAATGTAGTATTAGGAAAATTCAGTACTGAACTCGTTTAGGACAAAAATAGCTCAATTTGTTCGTGTCAAGAAGAAAGTTCCTTTTGGACCAAATGTATGTGGAGTAAAGCGTCAGTAGTTTTAAATTAAATTGAAAAGAAGGCTGAATCTACTGCCGATAGTGTAGAAGAAGACATTTTAGATCGATTACAGTGAGATATCATCACCATATGGCGATAGTTAGATGTGGGGAATCACTACCCTTAAATATAATACTGCAAATACGAGTTTTATTTTCAACAAAATATGGTGCAATTTGACACAAATCGAAAATAATTTATTTAAATGTAATTATATCAAATCCAGAGAAAATTTCTACTCTATGACTAATTTCTAATTATCGTCAATTAAATTTAAATCTTGTTCGATAAAATACCCTCATTGTAATGATTCATTTGAATTACTCGCCAAAATCAATATTAACTAGTTTATTTATTTGTAAAGACATAAATCAAATATTTGTAAAGTTACTCGTGCATTTATTTTCATAGCGGTAGCGGGTTCCCTGATTTGACCTCGCTCATCGATCATTCTGTACTAATAACCTCTCAGCTAGACAGTTTATTATGTTCTAAATTAACGTTATATACTATCGATACCCTTCTAAGTTTGTACTGTATATGTAAGTAGAATAAAAGGCATAATAAGGAAGACATTTTTTTGTTTTCATTTTGTGTTAGCTTTCCTGATAGGCATCGTTCTATCAATCTAAATACTTTAAGTTGGTTTGTGTTCGCTTCAATAACTTAAAAAGTTCTGCACCGATTAAGTTCTAATTCTGACACGATATAGAAACCGCTTTAAATATTGTTTTTAAGAGTGCATTTACATAAAGGCGCACGCACGCACTTACGTATATGAGTACATAACCTATTACACGTTTACCTATTGATATGCGTGTACCCATACACGATATTTTTTTGTCAAATCTGTCTTTCAACAGCAATGGAAATTTAGTAGAGCTAAGTAGCTATAGCACAGGTTATTTAGAATTCTCGTGTTAATACCAAGAGTCGGATTGTTGTCATTTTTAAAGTTGCATTAGATTGAATCAAATATGTACTATCTAACGTTACAATTTCAATTCAAAACATGGGAAAATACAAGTTAATTAATTTCCAACATATATATTACGGAAAGGGCCATTAAAGATAACTTCTTAATTGAGTCAGATGCTTAAAGTTTGGTAGTAACTCCTCGTAAACAAGATCCTTATAATAGTTTCTTGTGAAATGGTAGTCTTGTGTGGTAAAAGTCACAATTTATTCACGTATTGCGGCGTTGCCTAATAAATGATACGATTAATAACGAAAAATAGTACGTAAGCAAGTTATAATTAAATCTCACCACTAAACTACGTTATGAGATTTGATTTTTTTTCATTGTTTTATTGTAACCTATATTAAAAGAAATATCATTCGTCGAATCTAAAACGTCTTGAACGACTTAAAAAAAAAGTAAAGTTTGCGTATTGTGCCCTTATTTTTGTGCTAAGCAGGGGCACTGTTCTCCTAGATTACTATCCATATCGGGTACTGGTACTGGTTGGTTTAGTTTAAATGTGAAGATTATAAGGGATTATCAATGGGTTGATGGATACTACCGATTGCCCTATCAAAAATGTATTATGATGGTCTTTATTATTTCTTACATATGTAATACATCAATATTTTGTAACTTGTACCATACTTGCTCTATGATCTTATTGTACCACTATCCACAGAGGTCTGAGGCTGAGACGAGCTGCGCTAAAAGCATGTTGTCGCGTCCAATTTAGCTCCGCTGTCACCATACCACTCCAGACGTCTCCCTGATACAATTTTCCCTTGTGCTGTCCTATGAAATATTAGAATAGCTGCGGGTGACGTGATGGGGGAAAATACGTGTGGATTGCATTTATGTTGATATTAATTTCTTGCTGAAAAACATATAAACCAAACGAGATATAATATATGTATTCCTTCTGCTTATAACAGAATAAAATTGAAATTGATTCTAGCTAATACTGGCAACATCGTCTGCGGAGAGTTTGATTTTTTTAATAAAAATAAAATTAAATCAATAAAAACTACTCAAACTTCTCGGGTCCTCTCCATACTCCGATACTTTTTAGCGACAGCAATGATGGTGGCTACCAGTGCCTAAAAATCAAAAAGTTGTATCGCCACTATAAGGATTGCACTATGCACTTGACTATAGCTGCTACCTACTTACCAAAAAGTCCCTATTTTGTCGCCTTCAAGCCTAATTCTTCAAGGTGCTGTATATCTCCATACCAAAACTTATCAAAACTAGCTCAGTAGAGTATAATATTAGAATGTAAAATGTGTTAGAATGTGAACCAAGAAAATGACGGACTTTAATCGTTCAGACCTTCAGTCTGAAAATGAATATAGTTACCATGTAGGCACCAAGCATGCTTCTGTGTACTAACAATTGGAAACTAGATGGGCTTCTGTGCGTAGTATTTCAATTTTTTTATCTCTTCAATTCGGATCCAGTTTGGCATAACCATCATACTGTCGATGTTACTAGTCAACTTTTCCTCTTATAACTATAGGAACAAAACCCACAAGGCTTTTTGGATGAAAATTGATTACCACCTTCATTAGAGGATATAATTTGTACATTCCCAATCAAATCCCAAATGTGTTGAGTTAATGTACTGTTCTAGTAGCTCCTGTGTGTGCCAAAATTCGTTTTTACTAAATCTGATAAATATAGAATTATACTTCCCCTAATTCTCAATTATTGTTCCGGAAAGATCCCAAAAATGTTGTAAATATCAGAAGTAGGTATTGTAAATCAAGTATATTTTACTGTCACTTTTTATGAAATATACACTACCGGATATTTAAGAAGTTCGTATTGCCTGGCAACGATATAGATCACGTATCGTATTAAAACTCAAATATAGACATAGGGAACTGAATGCTGGCATACAATAAAATAGGGTTACCCTTCTTCGATATCCTTTGTTAACAAGAAATATGAAGATTTATGGCTTTTGACTTACACAAGTAGTTATGGCTGCCTTTTTACCTTTTTAATACAAAACGACGACCTCGTTATCTCAGCACAAGTACATTGTTAAGGATCTGCCTTCTACTATGATGTATTCAAAAGGAAATATAAGAGTGGGAATATTTATAAGTAATCACGTATGTACTTATTTGTTATTTAAGTTGTATGAAAGAAACAGTTTTTAATACCACTTTGTTTTTATACAACCATGGTGTAATATATTTTCATTTGTATTCGATGATTTTCAGTGATGGCGCCTGTCATCTACTCCCATATAAAGTCAGGAATGAAAGTCAGCTTAGGAATTTGGACAGTACACTGTTTTTGATTAATCTTTGCAAGCATTATTTTAGGCTTACTTTTAGTGTTCATTAGGTTAGTAGGTTCCGGTTGCCCACGTACAAAAACCATTAGGTTTCCTGATGGAGAGTATTCGTAAGTTGTAAATTATGTTTAAGATTAGCGAAAAAGATTCTCCCAAGAGTTTTAGGTTGAACGTGTTTGAACTGGTAACACAGTGCCATAGGTGGTTGTTTCACAAACTTATTGCACTTTTAATGGAATCAGGTGTCATATGACTTAGGGATTACATACATCATGTCAGGAATAAAATTAAAAATGTATTTGTTAACTCAACACCAAACCTGAGAATTGTACACACAAATTCTATAATTTTAACACGTTTATAAACAGTAGTTCTATAAACTCATTTTTGTAGCATTCTAAATACAAATTAATGTAAAGGTGGCTTTAGATCAATGTAACCGCGACCAATAAGCACAGATAAGCGAGGTAGATCTATATGCTAATGGAGTTTAGTTCGTATCACTAAGTTTGTTTACAAGTTCCATATTAGGGTCTGTCTATTAAGTACGATTGACTTGTAAAATTGGCTGCTATTACTTCGATAGATAACTCGATAACACCTATTGGTTCTCGAGTTTAATAAAGTTTCAGATATTATTTTGTAAGTGCTGGATCTATATCAGAAGCATGATTACTAATAACTGCCGCTTACCCAAGAGAACTAATATCAACATGTTTAAACATTAGTTTAGATTAAATATTTATTATTTGGAGTGGATATGTAAGGATCTTACCCTATCTAGGTCCATTATAAAATTAAATCACAATTAAGAATAAGATTAATAGCTGTAACCATTTTTTGCTATCACTAAATCGTAAACCTCCTTTCTAAGGAGAGGCCTATGTCCAGCAGTGGACTATCAAAGGCTGTTGATGATAAACCGTATGCAGTTTGAAGACTTTCCTCAGACCTGAGTTAAATTTACTTGAGATGTTGTCTCTCTTTCTTTTTGAAGATTATGCAATTGCCGTCATTTTTTTCTTATTTTTTGATGATGAAGTTTAGTGTTTTTCATGTTGCGGTTTTTCATTAAAACTATGGAACCTACACAAAGAATAATTTATGCAACTATTAAACATTTCTGATTTAACTACCCAAAAACTGAAGTATTTGAAAAAAAAACTACGTAAAAATGGCAAAGAATTTTCAGAATGATTTCAAACAACTGACTGCAGATGGTGCTGACAAAAGCGTAGTTTCTCGCAACTAACAAACACATTCATCCGGACAAGATGCTACACTCCAGTTACTTCATAGGATGACCATAAAAGTAAGGTTTTGAAACAATAATACTAAGGTTACCTAACTTTCACGTCGATAAGACAAAAAAACGGAATTATTGTTTCTCCGGGCT